CACTCTCTCTCCCTCCCTCTTCATTTGCTCCTGTGTGCTCTGATCAGACATGTCCCTCCCTGGTCTATTTTTGGAGGCTTATTTGCTGCTATGAAGCTAAAGAGGTGTCAGCAGAGAGTCTGTGATCAGGCTGTGGTAGACTGGGCATAAAGTCCCCATGATCTACTTCTGAAAATCGACTGAAGAAAGCCCTGCGGATCACAGTGTTCTGATCAGAACTCTACCACAGGAATGGCGCAGGTCTAGCGGCAGCCCTGGTGGCACATAGTGGTTATGCACTGGGCTGCTAACTGCAAAGCCGGGAGTTTGAAATCATCCAGCTGTTCCACAGGAGAAAGACTCACCTTTCTATACCTGTAAAGAGTTACAGTCTCAGAAACCCACGGGGACATTTCTGCCCCATCCTCTAGGGTCACGATGAGTTGGAATTGACTCCAGGGCAGTGAGATTTTGCAGTCTGGTGCATGGCTCTGCTGCAAGCTGGGAGCCAACGTGAAGACAGCTAGGAATAATAACATCCTTACGGTGTGCTTAGTATCTGCCAGGCCTTGATCTAAAATGTTTTACATGGTTGAATTTAAAGGAGGGGCCTCTTACTGATGGCATTGCAGTCAACCCTGCAACATGGAGATGCTAAGTCGTGGACCCAAGATCACGCAGCTTGTAAGCAGCAGAACTGGGGCTCAAACTTGGATCGAACTGACTCCACAGCCTGCACTCTTAACTCTACCGTGGAGGAGAGAGCATTTTCTCAGGTGAACAAAAACAAAACCCAGAATGTGGAATGTGGGGGCGAAGTCAGAGCCGTCTTGGTGAAGGAGGCTCTTTCCAGTCGCAGAGGATGTGGGCTGGGACAGCAAGACAGCGAGATCACAGAGCCAGGAGGCAACACAGGAAGCCACGTTTGCTTGGCCAGCCCTCAGCCATCCTCAACCCCTGGCCTGTCCCTGCAGGTAGGATCCCAAACAAAAACAGAATTGTCTGCGTTGTGTCAAAGTATCGCCACACAGATTATTAGTTACAAAGAGGAAGATGGTAGTCAGCAGCCAGCTTACTCAAGTGACCTAAGTGAACATGCACAGAGGGTGTTCAGGGAAGGTTCTGGAAAGGAGCTGGGGGAAAGTATACTCGAAGGCTCAGGATGAAGAGAGAACAGGCCTATGGGTAAGCCCGCAGGGTCCACATGGGGAGGGTCCTCTAGGGGAGATGGGGGACTCGGGATTGGGGAACCTCTGGGTGGTCAGAGGGAGTCACTGGGAGGGACGGTCATGGGTAGGGCATAGGAGGGTGAGAACAGGGTCCAGTATGGGAAGTCTTGGGAGTAAGGAGACACGAGGTGGACAGAAGGTGGGGCATGCAGTCATGGTCTCCAGGATGGTTTTGAAAAGGTCGGGACACGACGGAGAGGGTTTCAGGGCGGCATCTGGAAGTGGGGATGTCCCGGGACCCGTGAGCGCGGCTGGGCACTCGGAGCCGGGAGGG